ATTTGGCGGCATTTAGAATAATGGAAGTGATTAAATCCCATAAACAACAAAATCCAACAGTACTTTGGTCAACTCTACTTAAAAATTAATACCAGGCATTAAAAAAAAAGTTTTTAAAGAATAGAAGGGGTTCTTGAAAAGCCATCTGTAGAAATTAGTTTCTAAAGTTTTTTCAGGATATTTTTGTATTAAATGTATTAGCTTGTTGTTGCTTGTATTGCTTCCATGAATAGGAAACCAATTTGAATTACTTAGTTTTTCAGGCGGTTGGCACAATGAGGTTAATGGCCATGTCAACAACATTATAAGGAATAAATTTCCACTCTTTAGCAGTAAATTACGAGGGAGTCCGGTAAATATTGTTTTTACAAGATGTGCGTAAATCGTTAAGTAACTCTTGTGGTCGGCTAAGAGACATTTTGCACATTGTTTACTCAACATTACTCAATTCTTGATAAGTAAATAGTTTGTAAATTAACTGTGTTTTTTGGTAATAATTTTTAACAGAAAAATCTTTGCTTTGTATAATCTAAAAAGTTTGTCTTTTTGAGGTTTAAATCTTCTCATTTTCGGTATTTAATGTATACAATGATTTGTTGTGTTAGAATTCATTTTTATGAAGTAAATTGTTTTGTTTCTCTTATTTCTGAAATCTTGTATGGATTTGAAAATTCTTTAGTTTTGCATGGTTAAAATTGGTATCATTGTACAAATAATGTTCTGTCAAATTAAAAGTTTCTGATGCATTTGTTATAAAATTATATGTTTGGGAGTACTATGAAGTTAAACAGCTATATTCAATTCTGTGACTTCAAAATTTGTAATCACTGGATACAGTGTCAAGTTAAAGTTTTTTTATTAAAAAGCACCCTTGATATCACTTCTGAAAACTGGTAATTTCTTGTTAAAACCTTACCTACTTGACAACAGACGTGCGTGCTAACATGTTAATATGTTTTCAGGGATTTCTTGTTTCCTTTGATTTATAATTCGTTGTTTTTTAAGCCTCAATTGAACCCTAAGATGTTTTTTTATCAATTAACTTTTTAGTTGAGGCAAATTTCGACATTGTTTGAGACGTGTGCCAGAATTTCAAAGAGGAAATAAAACAGGAAACTACATGTTTTCCAGTGACAGATTTATTTAGGTGGAACTTTCTACTCACAAATCAAATAAAGTTTGAGCTATGTTTCTTAAGGAAGAAACAAAAGTTTGTTTTAATCTCTGTGCATGCAACATGCAACAAATAAATCCAAACTACTGTTGGTAAAATCATCTTATGGAAGGCTTTATAAAAGTATGTTTTTGTTTGGCATTTATAAAGAGTTTTTATTTTTCATTTTTACAGTTTATTTCTTATTTTCCAATTTTTAATTTATTTACAACCAAATGATTATACAACTACTATATGATTTTGTTATTAAATCAATTATTAAATCAATTTATTAGCCACTACTGAAATATCTGTTGAAAATACAGGCTTTATTAGAATGTCTTCTAACCATCGTTTTTGAAAATTACTCATGAGATAGTTGGGGTTTATTAACCAAAGCAGTCTCTATTTTTGTGGTAGCTAAAAAAAAAATAGAAAAACCTAAATGTTTGGGTAAAAGTTACTTGGATTTAAAAAAGTAATACACCAATACTATTTATCGGTTATCATCGATCAATCTTTTTCACTTTGTACCTACCTTGATTACGTCCTCCTGGACCAAGACCAGCAGAGCTCGATAGGTTGCGTCAATTTATAATATTTACAGTAATAAACTAAAAACTTCCTTAGATTGAAATTAGAAAACTTTGTAATAAGTACTTTGGCCAAAAAAGTAAAACTGCCAAAGTGTTTTAAATTAATAATATTTTCCAACTATTAATGCTTTTTTTGAGAGTTATTACCATTAATCAATTCTTTTAAAATTATCAATTTTTACCAAATTGTCAATTGGTCTTTGCAAATTGTCAATTTTTTTAATTGTTTACAACTGACAACTACTCTTGTAAAAGTAGTCAATTTTTAAATCATCGGCAACTTTCATAAAACGTTATGATTTTCCCTCAAGGTGCAGATTTTTAAAATCCGTTGAACGTAAAACTTTTCTCGTTACCGTGGCTGAAGCAGACAACCCACTTGTGTGTAAACAGTGGGGAAGAATGGGGTGATTGATTATGAATTGATTGAAGCCCCCCCCCCCCCTGACGCTTACCGCCACTTTGTGCCAATAATTGACTGAGCTACAAACGACACTGTGATTCTTACTGACTGACATTTGTGTTATTGAATGGGAGCAAGGTTTTAGGGTTTTGATAGTGTATTTGGTTTTCATTGTAACTTTGCAGATTTATTATTTGCCTCAAAATTTCAAATTGAAGGATAGAGAAGTATTGTGCAAGAGATGAAATTAAGAAAGTGTAAAATCCACCAACATAGGTTTTTAACCTAAGGTGGTTATTGTTTTTTTCTTTTTTTCATGTGTGTATTTTTGTGTTTGTTTGTTGTGTGGAAAAACAATAAAGATTTCTTAAAAAAAAAATTCAAGATATAATGGACTCAATATGACCAATTGTTTTAGAAAACCATTCAGAATTTTAAGTCTAATCGCTTATGGAAAGTTCAATTTACTTTCAAATTGCAAGTGGACAAATTTAAAAAAAGTTAGTTTTCTGATCCAAGTTAAAATGATATTTTTACATTGTTTATGCAATTAATGAGGTTTCAATAAATTTTCATATGTTAAGAGCCAAAAGAGTTATTTTGCTATTTAGCTGACACAATATTAACAAACAAGGCTGTTAATATTTTAACATTTTCTCTCAATTGCTTTTCAGACTTAAGACTTATTTCAAATTTAGGATACAAAATTATTTGTTTCCTTTAAAGATAGAATGATCTTACACATGATGTTTAAAAGGATGTTGAACAACTCTTTGAAGTTAACTTTTTTTGCTAAAACCATTATGAGATTCTTAAAATATTTATAAAAAGTGCAACTATTAAAATTTTAGAAACCATTCCTATCATATTTGATAAACGTTTATATTATTATCAATAATAGTTGTCTTATAGAGATTTGTGTTTGCTATGCAATGCAATGGAAAAGTGGTTGTATACTTCCGCTTACTTTCTCCATGTCTGATAGTAATTAACGACTGCAAGTCTCGGTTGCTAATTTCGCCAATGGAAGGTTATTGCCTATTATGCTGCTTGTTGCACTTCTCACCACTGGAATACTACTTCCACTTTTTAAATTGTACTGTCTTTCACTATCGATTGCCTTTAATTAATGCTGTTTAATGAAGTTAATGTGCTACTAAGTAATAATTTTAAAATCTATTGGGCACCTAAAATGTGTTAGGTAGATTTAGACTATTAGTAAAATGTATTTCTACTTTGGCTAATTTGCTGGATTTTCAAAGCAAAAGCATAATTTTTAACTTCTCAGGTTGTACTTGTAAATTAACTATAGATCTATAGAATTGTCAGAAATTCTTGAGCTATTTAAGTTATGTTTTCTTATAACCAAAATGAAAGTCGATTATAATTAGAGTTCTTAAAAAAAAGTTTGACGTCTTCTATACTTTATTTTTAGTCAGATTGGCTGTAATTAATTATCAAGGCCTAATTAAACTTTTTTTAATACCCCCTCTTGCTTTTCTTTTTTTCCCTTAAAACAATGTCTGTTTTCTTCTTATGAAGATATATCAGTTGTGAAATGCAGATCATCGTAGAGACTGAATTATATTATTTAAAATATTTATATTTTGCTCATTAAATGTAACTAGCTAGTATAACATATTCTCAATAAGCATTCCAATTCATTGTTTAAAAATATATAAAGAATGTTGGAATTGTTACATCGAGCATATAATGTAACTGTTTATGTATACAATTTATATTATTAAGATCAGTTTGGCAATTAATCATACATTTTTTATACTTGTCAAAATTGGGTAAAATACATTGTAATTTATTTTATTTCTTTTAATGTTCAAATTTTTTAATAGAAATCTGGGTGAATTGAAACTTGAGCTAATTTTCTTATGATACTCGTGAAGGAAGTCGGAATAAAGTGAGTGGGCTAATCAGTCTGAAAGCTCGAGCTATAAAAGAAAATTGCAATGCGCTGAGGCCCTTGAAACAAACCAAACACTTGTTTTTTATTGTTTGTAAGCTTGTGAGATTAAACAATCACACTAGACAAGAACTCAAGACGTTTCAGTCTCGGATTTTAGTTATTCTCTATCACACACAGGTCACTGTGTTCCTTGTGATGTTTTTATTTTTATATTTATTGCTGCAAAAATGTTTTGTTATTAATAAAGAATTTCTCTCTCTCTCTAGTCTGCTGCATTTCTGACTATGACAACTCTGCAATTTTTTTACATTTCATTACAGTAGACTCCCTCTTATCCAGACACCTTTTAACCGGACTACACTCGGCGGAAATAACATCTCTTAAACATGACAATTTTTATCAGCACTTTGGTTTAACCGGAATAAATTGGCAGGATACTGAAACGACTGTTCTCGTGGGAAAGATTTGAGACCAGTGATCAAGTGTCTAAATACAATGCTCTCCTAAATTTAAGTCAAATATGTATACATTATGCATTAAAACGGTCCGTTTTAACAAATGTCGGGGAATTTTTGGACTCAGTCCCGAAGAGTCCCAGATAAGAGGGGGTCTACTGTATAATGATTTCCAATGAGGGTGGACGATGTTCCACTGTGGCCTACTCAAATCAAGCCTTTGATTCATTTGCACTACAATATTTTAAAAGTTGGATACTAAATAAAACACTCTCACATATTTATATTTATTATAAACTTTTCTTTCATAAAATTTGTTTTTAATCGGGTAAGTTCTGGTGTTCATTTATTCGTAGTACGTTTTTACCCCCCTTAAAATTTGGTACCTTACATATCTAATTGTAAAAGATATATTTTAACATTTTCTTGACATGTTTGAGAACAAGTTGGTGACCAACAAATGGTGTTTCAGTGTCGAGATGCACAAGAGTCGCGCGGCGTCGTACGATGGCAAGATCGCAGGACTGTACGACCTGGAGGCGACGCTGGGCAGTGGACACTTTGCTGTGGTCAAGCTGGCGCGTCACGTCTTCACTGGCGAGAAGGTTGCGGTCAAGGTCATCGATAAGACCAAGCTGGACGACGTCTCCAGAGATCATCTGTTCCAAGAGGTGACAACTAGTTTATTTTCACAAAATCAATCTTTTAATTGTACATTCAATACATCGATAAAGGTTTTGTAAAAGATTAGGTGTAAATATGTACACTATCAGTGGTGTATAAATATTCTGATAATGTAGAATCAAAAATTATTTTGTGTCCAATTGATGATTTCATTGGTGTAAATACAAAAATTGTGTTCTGAATAAGTTTTTCGCCACACTACATCACAATCACAGTAAGCAGCTTCTTTCTTTTTAGACTAGAAAGTCGTTTACCGAAAGTGACCTGTAAAGTCAGCTGGAGTATGGTTAACTTAACAGTCGGTTTTGCAATAAGCTTAAACAAAGGCTATGCTACGTCCTCCTCTGCAGTGATAAAATAACCCTAATGGTTTTAAATACTGTAATAACAGGCCTACTATATTAAATTTATAGTATAGTTGAATTGGATAACAAATAGTTACAGCAACTATATTAGGGTGTGGTTTGCAGGAATAGAACTAAACACAAGACAAGAGGCGCTTAATGATGGTTAATGTTAAAAGCTACTAATTTAGTCGACATTTTGTCACTTGAATTTATGAAATAGTTTTTGGGTGATTTAACAATTTAATTTCTTCAATGCAAATACTTTTATAACATTGTAGACAAAGTTATATGTATCATCCACCATACTTTTTGAACTTAATTGTACAGTGTCAGGTTTTCAAGATAAAATTATCAATGAATGCATACTCTATAATGAAATTAGAATGCCCCACTTTGATGTAGAAACACAATTAAATGACCAGGCTTGTTTAGAGAAACTCTTTGCTTTTCAACCCAACAAATATTATTTGAAAAATTTGGGTACACATTTTAATAAGTCTGACAGTAAAAAAATCATTATTCTAAAATACATTTTAAAACTAGAAATTTGTTTTAAGTAATGTTTTTATTAATGTGTATTTAAGATTTATTTCATTGTAGGCAATGAATACTAGATCTAGATCTAATCTGTAACACAAACACAAAAGTAAAAGTAGTGTCTTTTATCCGATTAAATAGAGACAGGTTTTGAATCGTACTAAATAAAGTTAAGAGTTAACCCTGCAGCCATGTCAAATTAATACCAATACCATTACCAGTAGGCGATCATTAACCAGTTGTTAGGACAGATCTTGTCGTTTAAAACACTAAAAATAAATAATAAAACTGATATTTACATTACTAACTGCAATGGAGTATAAGCTAAGAATAAAAGCTATATAACAGTGTAAAGTGATTGAAGAAAAAACAACAAATATGCACGTATTTCTTATTTCAATGACTGTACCTACATGTTTAGACAGCTGGTGTATACAATGCTTAATCTCATACGATATTTCACCACTGTCACATTGATTTCCCCGATGAGTTTTTATAGTATGGATGGCTTCACTTATTTGTTAACAAAACTATTGAACTACCCACCATTTTAACTCTTCCCAAAGCTAATTTTGACTCCATCGGGGTTTTAAGCGAATTTCCCATATAGGAAATAAGCTGTATATGCAAGTCTAATGGTAAGACTTGCTTGTCCAATTTACTTTTTTTGTTTTGATGTCCCCAGAGGCCAAAACCACCCTCTGTTCAATATGAATATATATTTATAATTACAGCGACTACTTAAAGCCACAGCCTTCTGTAGGTCAACAAAACGAGTTACTATACTGTTAATACTGTTCGATGAAGTGGCGACCATACATAGTAGGTATTTTAAGCCAAGTATGAATGGAGATGAGTGTAGGCTGAGTGGCGCGATCTTGTAGTGTTAACAACACTTTCAACCAACGCACACAACATTGCCAAACACTTCCTCTCCACAATATTTGCCTCCTACTATTACAGGGGTTAGTTTAGTCTTAGCTTTTTGAATCTTCATGTTAATGTGTTATACTCACCATCATACTACCTACAGGTGCGATGTATGAAGCTGGTGCAACACCCGAACGTTGTGCGGCTTTACGAGGTGATAGACACACAGACCAAGCTATACCTCATACTGGAGCTGGGCGACGGAGGCGACTTGTACGACTACATCATGCGACACGAGGCGGGACTGAGCGAGGGAGTGGCGCGTGAGTACTTCCGTCAGATAGTGCGTGCCATCTCCTACTGCCACAAGCTGCACGTCGTACATCGGGACTTGAAACCGGAGAATGTGGTGTTCTTCGAGAGGGTCGGAGTTGTCAAACTGACAGACTTTGGGTGAGTTTGAAGATAATTCTAGACTTTATGTTTGTTATAAGTATTGGTGTAGTGGAGTGGGGACGCATGGGAATGATGTTACAACTCTGCATTTGCAACAAGTCCTATCGGTGACCCTTGGTTTTCAAGAGATGTGTGTAAATGTTCCCTCACTGGAAAATTTATGATTACAAATTTACTATTTACGGCTGTAGTGTCTATAATACAGGTTAAGCACCATACGTTATTGTCAATCCACAATTATTACTTGATACTCAAGTCTCCTGATGGAAGAACTGATGTGCTGTGATTGACAATTTGTTTTTGGCCTTTTTAGTTATAGCTTCACTATAAAATTTCAGAAGATGATCAATTCGTCATAAGCTCGTATGGTCAAGAGAATTATTGAAGCACGTTAAAAAACTCATTTAAACAGTAAAACTAATTGATAACCTGATTGCATACCCGACTAAAACGATTAAGGAAAGACACCAAACTGAGTTCTCGGGAGTTGAGGATGGAGCTATATCGCTCTGAAACTAGTAGTATAATAAAAGGTGGTGGATTGACCATGACCTGAGGTGCGTAACTTATATTATTGACGTTGGTTTAAACAACCTATATGTATATATGAACATGGTCATAAGTAGCATAGAAAATTTGAAAATTATCATTTCTTTATGATGTTTTCATAACAAAAATACCGTACCTACATTTCCAAATCTGGGGTTTGCAAAGTGCTACTATAGTTTTGCAATAGTTTTACTATGGGGTAATAGTTTTTCATTGGTGAGTCTGCCTTTGTTGGCATTTTTTATATAGGCACTGTATGATTTAGTATGAATTCCTTTACCACGGAAGATTCCACCGTTTATAAACATCTTTTAAAAAGGAAACAGAATATCTAAAATAGTCTGGCACCTCTAAATAAAATACAGAGAGTCGGTGTTGTCATTAAGGTCCCAAACAAAAAATTAATTTGTTTGGATAAATTCGAACAATTCCCAATAACTAGAATAATTAACCATCCACATTAAAATAATATTGCAACTCTATACCCAATCTAAATAACAAAAAAATAAGGTCCATTTTACCTATTATTGCTAGTGTAACTGGAGGTTGAATTATTTTCCTAAATCCTCGTGTTGTCCAGTTTCAGCAATAGATTCTGTCCTGGCCAGAAGCTGGAGACTTCTTGTGGATCTCTTGCTTATTCAGCGCCGGAGATTCTCCTCGGAGATTCTTACGACGCTCCCGCAGTCGGTTAGTTGTAACTCATTTAAATTGAATACCATGTCTCAATCAATCAATCAATCAATAAAATCTTTATTCAATATTAGTACTCTGTACATAGAATGGTGTCAATATTAATGAATACTAAGATACATTATAACTAAGATTGGTTAATACTAAGGCTGTCAAAACAAAATATATAGTTATATGCATGAAAAGAAAAACAGAACTAAAAACTTTCTTTACACATCATTTTTACATGGGAATTCGGAGAAAGAATATAATGTTAAATCAATAAGATATTTTTTTAGTTGATTTTTGAATTTATTAATATTTTTCTCAGATTTAATGGCTTTTGGTAACATATTATAAAATTTTGACCCCATATACATTGGCTTTTTTTCATAAAATCCAAGTTTATGTTTGTCAATGCCAATTCTATTCCTGAATCTTGTATTATAATTATGAGTATCTCCAACAAAATGAAGTTGGTCCTGACGGTTTTTCACAGAAATTATAGTTTCATAAATGTACATTGCATATACAGTCATGATACCAATTTTAGAAAAAAAGAGTTTTACCGATTCATTATAATTTAATTTTAATATAATCTGAATTGATTGTTCCTGAATTTTTAGTATTTTGTTCAAATTTTGAATGGAAGTTGCCCCATATAATGAAAGACCTATAATGTCTTGTACTTAGTTGTGGCATTTTGATAATGCCTAAGTACGCATGTGTAATATCTTTTGGAATGTTTGTTTGTGCATCTAATACTTTAGTACAGTCATGCGTCATGTAAAATTTCCGTCTTCAAGATTTGTTTGGTTTGCCGCAACATTTATACAGTGACGGTGAAATAAAAATCAAATTTATCATTAAAACTAAGTTTTATCGAAACGGGTTAAATATTACCTACTAACTCTATAATTATTCATATTTACTTCTGCTTACACACTTTGAATGGCATCATTAACATAAAGATTATCAACCTAGTATTAGTAAACAATGTCATACATTTTTAACAGTCCCGTACATTCTAAAGCAGTGAGTGTTGATTCAAGTGTGATTATCTGTTTATGCTCAGTCAATTCTCATCAGGCACAATAGCAGTAATATACCTTTTTAAAACTCTGCTTATTTAGTTGATATTATCTAATAGAGCCTTTAAAAGAAAAATTTTTTTAAACTTGACAATTGCTTATTTATATCAAATTATTAATAGAGTTAAGCTTAGTTACCTAAAAAGGTTAAGGTCTAGGGGCTAATAGATGCACTAAAAGAACACAAAACATGTCTCTGATATTTTGACCTGATGTAGGACTTTTCAAACTTGTTGTACCAAGTAGGCTTAACAACAACACACACAGTTACTTCTGATGTTTCTGTAAGTCATAAAAGGATTTCTTTTAAATCAAGGACTCTCAATACATCTACTTGGCCATGGATATATTGTATTTACATATGGTTGGTAACAGGTACCATATGATTTGTTTCAGACGTCTGGTCGCTGGGAGTCATACTGTACATGTTGGTGTGTGGCCAGGCTCCCTTCCAAGAGGCTAATGACAGCGAGACCCTCACTATGATCATGGACTGCAAGTACACTGTGCCAAGTCACGTCTCTGAAGGCTGCCGCAGGTAAACCTTGCCAGCGCTCATATGGGTTATGTCTTCATATAAAAGAGATTTTAGTCCAAAAAATGGGCTTTCAACCTTAAAATAGACCCTACATTATCCAAGTGTAAGGGCTTTGTTTAGCCCTTTTCCCGGCAGTTGTCAGAAAAGATACCAAAGCTTACTAACATTTGTCTATAAACCTGGATTGCAGGGATTTTGAATTGGCATTGACTGATAAACAAAATTGAATTGGCATGCTGATGGGTTTTTGAGTGTTACTGAAAAACAAATTCAGCAGGACCAGTGTGAATATTACCTCTTTAAACAAAGTATATGATCTTAAAAACTCTGATATTAAGGTTGCACTAGGCCTACTTAATTTCTTGCACCTTCTGTGAACTCTTTTACTCTTGCAATGAAATACCTGTGACTAGCCCTTTTGCTAATACTGCAGCTCATTCAAATAGCTTTAATTTAATTATCATTCCTATTGTTCTGGAATTGATCATAATTAAGTGTTCACACCAATGGCATTTCAATGGCACAATTATTCTTGCAGGCTGATAGGCCGGATGTTGGTGAGGCAGCCGGAGAAGAGGGCCACTCTGGAGGAGATAGCCAGTGATTCGTGGCTGGTAGAGGGAGATACGGGTCAAGACTTGTCCATGCCTCTAGTATCCAGACAACAACTGTCAGATGAGGACCATACCCTCATAGTGCAGAAGATGGTCAATGGAAAGATTGCTACCAAAGAGGAAATATTAGAGTGAGTTTATTTTAATATAAAATTATGAACCTGAAATGTTGGGGTCTGCAGGTCCCCAATATTTTTGGGTCAGGCCGGAACAATAGGTCCAAGGGTTCGGTTCAGGCCAGGAATATAATTTTCAGCTGAGCCTCAATTTCTGCGGTTGCAGCAAGTTTCTGTGAAGATTCATCACAGAAAAATGTCAATTTTGTCACAATCCCCTTTGATGTTCACAGTCTTGATCAATCAACAATGATAGTCTCGATTTTGTTTTGGCTTCTGAAGATGTTATAAAATGTAATATGACTGCAGAATACGTTCCCGATTTCACTGTGACCACGGAAGATGTTCACAATTTTGCCGTGACCACAGTGAATGTACACAAGTCCCCTCCAATGAGGGGAAAGATCATGTACAATATTATGTAAAAATGGATTGCAGTATTACAATTAATAACTTTTTCAATACAATACTTCCCACAGAAAAACTTTTACCAAAGTAAAAAAACTTGGCCCTAAACCTCTACTGAAATGTTATATTAGTGCAAAGGGATGAATAAGTTGTGGGTACTGTTTGTATTTTAACTTATGACAATTCAAATAAATTACTGTCAATAATTTAAATTCTAATCCCTTTCCTTTTAAAAAGACTGTTCTGGCTAAAGAACCAACTCTCTTTAACAAAAGTGTCGTATCACTCCCTTTCACACTTACTCTGCATTTTTATTCAGCTCAAGAATTGTGCGTTTCGTTTCGTTGTAATTCTTGGATAGAAACTCTATTTACTTGTTATTGTTTGCAGTGCGCTGGATAAAAATGAGTACAACCACATAACGGCGACCTACTTCTTGCTGGCCGAGAGGAAACTGAGGTCGCAGGAGCCGAAGCAAGTCAAGAGCCCGGGGTGAGTGGAATGATGGTCAAATGTGTTCTACCCTTGATGTGTGCTTGAGTCTGTAGATTTTGCAATTTTGATTCTTTACACAAAGAAAGCTTTTGAACGATGAATTATTTGGGACATTTATTTTTGTTGCTGCCAAACCTATCTTGCTCTTTAATAGTGAATATAAGGATGCACTTTTAGCAGTTTTAATTGTCCTGACTTAGTTATGATTAAGCTCAGATTCAAAATTATGAGTAATCTAAATGTCTGCCCCAAAAATCCCAACTTGAGGGCAATCTGGTACTTTACTAATATAGATATACATCATCTCTGTCCTAATCAGGTAGGGTCTACCTCATTTAAATTTGCTGAATTTAAACCTTTTTAATACTGAAATTACTAATTTAACGTAAAAATTAATATAGTTAATAGTAAATTTATCTTTAAAGAGCTTATCGCAGACATGTAAATTGGTACATTGTGATGATCTGTATTGGACTGACCTGTTGCAGTGTGTGTGCGCCGAGTGTGCGGGTGGACTCGTGTGAAGGTTCGACGCCGGTCGTTGCGCCTGCGCCCACGTCCGTCGGACTGCTGAGGTCGGCCGAGCGAGCGCGCAAGTGCAGCATCGTGGCGGAAGAGGAGGACGACGAAGATGACCGAGGCAGCTGCGGAAGTCACTCCTCTTTGAGCCGTCGTGGCAGCCGCAGTGAGGGTAAACTGCATCTGGCCGTGCAGGAGCTGCGGAGGGAGGCGGTACCTGTTAATATCATCACTGAGGTAGGTACCAGCTGACTCATAGTATGACAACAGTTGTAATGGCGTTTAACTTTTCTAACAGATTCTGGTTTTCATGTTAGGAGAAAAATTGACTTGTAAATCAGTAATTATGTTCAATTGGCTCACCTTTAACATGGAAATTAAGTGTCACTTTATTTACAGCCAATCTGAACAGACGTATTACTTTAGACTATCATGTCTTGTATCTTTATGTCACAGAGTTTAAAAGAATCAAAACTAAAAGAGGAAAAGTCATTTATGGTTTATATAGATGGAATAGTATCCATAAGTCAATGATTAAACTCATTGGCAGCCTCCTTTATCTCTGTGTTGAAAGTTTTTCTTTACTCCAATGTTTTAAGTTATTCTGCAAAATATCTATCCCACCCCATTTGTCTTTGTACTTGAAACTGAATGGATTTCTCTAAGAGTGTTGTTTGTTAAAACAAAACTCATCATGTATTATTCCTCCTCATGTATTATCTTTGTACAGGCGTCCACGGCACCCAGTCCTCTCCACACGTCGGGACACGCTCCAGTAAGGTCAGTCAAGACACTTCCTGCACCTCTCCCCACTGCACTCAGCTCACCTCAGATAGGTCTGGGCGAGATCTCCGAGGAAGGGAAGGAGGGGCAGGCCAAGCCCACGGGCACGCCGCGCTTCACAGCCTACGAACAACGGAGAAACAAGTTCCGCAAGACTCGGACTGCGTCGTGTAGCTCGTCTGATGCCAGTGACGAAGACTCTGAGGGGAGAAAGAAACGTGGGAGTACAAAGTCCCTACACAGAGGGAGAGATCCCCAGGATCCGGGGGGAAGTGGGGGAGGTTCCGGAGGGACAGGTGGCGCTCCACCTCCAGGGGGAAGTGCGTCAGGTGAGAGTTTGGTTTTACGTTGACATTTTCTTTACTCTCTTAATATTTTAAAGTTGATTGATCTTTACAATGTCTTCTTATAAACCTTCTCTCTGGTATGCAAGCCTTGCAAAGGGGTCTGCCGGACTTGATGCCTGTGGGCGGGGCGGCCTGTTTGTATGCTGATGATACTAATATTACCATTTGTGGAAATTCAAAAGAAAGTATTGAAGCATCATCGGTCAGTCTCTCCATCATAAAAAAATTCTTAGATAGCAAAAACCTTCTTTTAAACCCTGAAAAATCTAATTTTGTATCATTTTCTACAAAACAATACAAAAACAAATTAAATCCAGACATAATCTTAGAAGATTATAAATTACAACAGGTAGAACATACAAAATTCCTTGGTTTAATAATTGATTAAAATCTAACCTGGGACAAACATGTTGATCATGTTATAAAAAAAAATGTCTTCAGGAGTATCTGCTTTAAGACAAATGTATAAAGTTTGCAGCTTAAAAACATTAATATCAATATATTATGCCTTAGTTCATTCTAATTTAGCTTATGGAATCAGTATATATGGAGCAACTACATCAAAAAACTTAAAACGGATTTTATCGTACCAGAAAATGGCAATTAGGGCAATGTTTAATTTGAAAAGGAAAGATTCGGTAAAACATATTTTTACCGATCTTGGAATACTAACTGTTCATGGACTATATATCTTGGAAACTATTATTTATGCAAAAAATATTACAAAAACTCAGGTATCAAACAAAATTAGTCACAATTATAACACTCGTTCTCAATCTCAAATTGATAGACACAATCTAGAATTTTATAAAAAGAAAACAAAATTCACAGGAAATAAATTTATGTCCCATCTTCCAAAAATACTTCTAACTGAAAATGATACAAAAAAGTTTAAAAATTGTCTGAAACAGTATTTGATTAAAATTGCCCCTTATTCTCTTGAAGAGTTTTGGGAGAACAAATAAAATAAATATTCTGTCTTATTTTTAGTTCTTAAATGTAAAACATTTTATTTTGTAAGATCTGACTCTATTCCTGTACAATTGTACTTAAATGAATAAAGGATATTTTGATTGATTGATTGATTAACGTTAAATTTTAAGATGTGTTTAAAAATGTTGTTATTGCATGTATGTAACATGTTGTGTAGGGGGAGCAGGTAACTTCCCGCCAGCCAGTAAGGGTCTAGGAGGTGCTGGACCGGGCCAGGGAGGCCCCACCCAAGGTCATCGCCAGTGTCTCAACAGCCGTCACCGTCGCAGGGCCGGGGAAACACGACTCAGGGAGAGTCAAAGTCTAAACAGGATTACTGAGGTTCAGGAAGGTTAGTGTCAACTACCGAGTCAGCATAACATCAGTTCAGCCATAGACTAGCCAACACAAGTAGACTCCTCATCCCATTGTAAATTTTGAAGCTCGTTTTTCGTGTCTAGTTCATATCCGGTGACAATGTTTGCTAGTGTCAACAAAACTTTGTTTCTATTATTTTAGGGTTAATTTAACACTTATACCGAAACCCTACCCAGCCTGACGCTCACCGAAACCCTCGGTCTGTGAGATCCCATTTGAAAATAATGGACCCCGCTTAGAAACACAGAATCCGAAAGCCTGGGTCTGTGAGACCCTGCTTTGAAATTCACTAACGCTGGACTTTTGAGACAGGCATGATATGAACAGACAACCTGTCAAGGTCACGGCACCCACGCAAACAAAACAAACAATATATCAACAGGTAGGGGAGGAAAAGGGGGGAGGTATTGGGGGAATGGAATCCCCCTAGTTAACAGTGTTGCCAACATGTGTTTGTAAAAATTCCCATGGGCCTGTCAGACCGGGGTTTCAGTATAAGTGTTAATGATTTGTGCGTTATTGCTTGGTTATATAACTAGAGGATCAGTTATTAAGTATGATTAGATCGTTTTATTTGGTTAAACGAGGTTTTTAATGACTGAAATATCAAGAAAGAAATTGTAAACAAAAAAGGACCTCTACAGTGTACCAGACAGAACTAACAAACTATCGTCAGCTGTTCCATAAGAATGAGAACGCTACCAAAGTTTTATCTATGGTTCAGCTATGGAGTTATTGTACTGGACCTGATCTATGGCTCACAACACCTTTATCACTGGATAGCCTCAATACATCTGCTACAAACTTCCTTTCAGTAGGATGTTTTTGATTGATTACAAGGCATAAGTTTATTTTAAACAGTGTGAATCAAAACGTGATATTTATCAGGAACTTGGTTACAGATTGTGTAGTGTGTAAATTAATGTGTCACCATGTTTGTAGGAGAGCCGCCGGTGTCGCCCAAACTGCCGCCCAGCCCTGTAGAGCGTGATGCTGCAGAGGTGAGGAAACACCAGTCCAAGCGTAACGCTCTCATCGGCCGATACCTCAGTCTGCAGCGCAAGCTGTGCGTGTGGAGCCGCGGCCGTGTACGCAAGGACATCAACCAGAACCTCGGCTCTGCGGCAGTCGCGGTACGTGTCATTGACTTCAGTTCTAGAGGTTGAGTTCATAAATGTCGCAAAGGTTAGTCTGTTTGGGGAAAAAATGTTTAGGAATACAATAAGAGAGGTAGCGGATATACAACTAACCCAAATAATAAACATTCCAGAGAATCGAGAGAAATTAAAAATTCACTTGACAATTTACTTGATATTTCGCCGCACAAAATAGTATTAGAATGCTATAAAATAAAATAATTTATTAAAAAAATTTTACATCAGTTACTTACATCAATTGATGTCTTGTTAATTTACAATGTCTAATCTACTATAGTTCGGCTGCTTAGAATGCGACCTGTGCGCTAATGCTAACCAATGCCAGAGGAGGTCGCTTTCTAAGCAGCCGAACTATAATTTGGTTACCAAAAAATTGACCAAACCAAATACTTCTATTAACACATGTTCTACACATTTGAATACAATTGATACTCCAACATATACATCAAACCTATTCTTGCTTCTCTGCAGCCTTCTACCATAGACTAACCAACACAAGTAGGCTTCTCATCCCATTGTAAAATTAGAAGCTGTTTTTTGTGTGTAGTTCATGTTGGTGACACTGATAGCTAGTGTCGACAAAATTTTGTTTCTATTATTTTGGGGTTGATTTCATGATTTGTTCTGAGAACTAACAATATAATTGGCTTCAGCTGATAGGGATGACAAAAAATCTACTAAAGGAGAACATTTCATCTTTATGCTATTTCCCTAGTAAAATACCAGTTTCATGTGTTGTGTAGCAGTCGGTTTATTTAACTTTTGTTGATTTATGATTCAGGTTGCAGCTTCCATCGGGATGTGTCACCTGCATTCTCACATGGGAGGTGATACCAAATGCTGCAATCTCTGCTGACACAATATTAACGGTAAGTGCATCTTGTACATTCATGTTAGTTATCACTGTAAAGATAAGATCATAAGATGACAACAAGCAGTAACAATTCATTATATTTAGTTCAAAATTTTTAGGCGGTTTAAGGGTAAGAAATCTATCCCCTCCGCTTGGCCCTTACTTCTAAAATAATAGCTCAACAGCTGATTAAGCAGCATACATTAAATACAAAAAAAGTGTGGCATACTGTGATGCACACATAGGTGATTTGGTCATGTGATTTATGATCCTAACCAAATCGTTCATGTTGGAAACGAGAACTGGACACATTATTTTAAACAGAGGAGACAATTTACCGCAATTCACAGGCCCCAAGAGCCAGCTTTGATGGTTGTTTGATTAATTAAAGCATTTTTATTACAGAAATATCCTAATCGTTCAACTTATGGAACATTTAATATATAGGTCAACCGGACACAACGTGAACTAACATTTGAATAAATAACCAATAATAAATTACCGAATAAATTACATAGGGAATTTTGACTACATGATCTGAAATTAGATATTAATTAATTATCTACTACTACTCTACAACACAATACCTCGGGGGGACTTCCCCCATATCCCACGTAGCTATCGAACCATGTCGGCACCAACCCCGGGACAAGACAGCGTGCTTACTACGATTAACTGACTCACCTGCTCGCTGCGCATGCGCAAGCGGATCCTAGGATTGAGGCTGGTATTGTTGATGGGGCATTTGAAAGGATTGTGGAGGCTGAGCCCCACCAAAGTAGGGGGGGGGGGGGAACTTCCCCTCAAACTGCCTAAATATTTTGAAAGAAGTATAACTGCAACCACATCTAGCAGTATCTAACACCTAGGTAGATTTCAAATTATTTTAAAATAATTATTTGTTTTTCACTAATTTGAGTTGTTATTTGTTTCTACAGAATTTGAAACTGTGTTTAAAGGGAATTTTTAAAAGCTACACTTTTAACGTTATGAATATTTTTAGCAAATGAGAAAATTAAGATTTTAGAGAGTACCAAAATTGACTTACTCATATGTATGAGCTGGCAACACTAATACACAGATACAAGCTAAAGCAGATGCTCTGGTTATTACTATTGGTTATTACGATTACTATCGATTATTGAGAAAGCTGGATTACTAAACTTCTTCTAAAAATTGCCATTTTTTCCAAAACTAATGGAAATACTCTAGTGGTGACTTGGCGATCGCTCCTGACTACCAAACGGGCTGAATCTCCAAAAGAAAATTTTTAAAACCTTTAGACCGATACCGGTTTATTGAAAATGCCCGACCATCGTATGTCAGATTAACATAAGTGACTTTAAGTACATATTGGCTTAATTTTCTAATAAGGTTGAGCAGTGTAATTGTCTAATAGGTCCTAATGGTTGTTTGTTTGTTGTACAGACTGAGCCGTGGTGGGGACGTTGTAGGTCTGAGTTGTTTGTTCTCTGCTGGTCGGCTGACTCCAACCCAGATCTCCGAGTCTCACTACGGCCAACACGACAGAATCAAATCTATTCCAAAGTCTTGTGTCATCTTCGTAAGTCACCACCAAAGCAATAATAATAGTTGGATTTCCGTCGCCTTTTCGTTCGTTTTGAACTTTGGTTACGATATTGATCGTCAAAATTTTAAACACAACCAAAGCTGTAATTTTAAGGTTATCGCTTTAAACGTGTCTTAAGTAATTTATTAATGTTATTTAATGTTAAGTCCATTCTGTAAAATATTTGTACATATAATTTGCATTTGTTTGTTATGTTTTTTAATAGTTTACATTTTACATTTATATCCATCCGTTTCACTGTAGTTTATATTTAAGTGTTTAATAATATTTTTAGTCATTTTTCTGTGTTTGTGTTAAGTCCATCAAATGTTATCTGGATTTGAAAATGGTTTGCAATGGTTTTACTGTTGACCAATTTTAATGGTTTCTATACAAATAGTAGATTTATGTATATTTCTGTTATAAGAGTTATCAAACATTTATAGCAATTTATAAGATATTTTACTAAATATTTATTATTATACATTTATATTCTAAAGATGTGAAATGAAAAAGTTAAATGAACACTGCAAGTTCTTGTTTGAACATTAAAGGTTTTTATTCCAAATCCTACTAACTGTCCACTGGCAACTGCCTAGGAAACGTTCAGAAAAATAATAAATAATTTATTAATGTTAGGCCTATATATTTTATGAAGGTGCTGAGGTATGTTTTAGTTAGTCGATAATTTCTTTAAAATCATACCCAACACTTTAAATTTTATTCAATTTTTTTTTAATATGAGGTTTGTATTATCAAACAATGATTGGGATGTTATTACATGGTCGTATTTCCTTATCAGCAGACACGGGGGTTGCCAAGGACCTCTTCCTGTAAGGGGTCTCAAAGAAATTTATTTACTCCTGAAAAAATAATTTCACCGATAGTGGTTAGAGTATTTGATTTTTCGAGCCAAACCGATTATCTCGATCACTGATAGTGTCTGTAAATATTGTGCCATCGAAAAATACTATTTAGACAGTGAAGTCTGTGCGACCGCAAACGATGAGACCTACAGAAATAGCTTATTCCCTATATGGGAAATTCGCAATATAACATATAATTTTAAATATATTTAACTGACCCAGAACATTAAGAGCACATTACATATTATATGTATTGTTACCCACAATTTATTTGGTGTTAAACAAATAAGAGTTTTTTTTTATACTTATTGAATATTTAAAATTTATATCAAGAGATCTTATTTATTTGTATTTAAAGTTCAATATGAAATGGAAAACCCCAATTGGTGATGTGTTGAAGCTAAATCTTGGATCTTGAATTTATTAAATCTCAAAAAGAAATTTATGTTTAACCTTCAAATCTCTTGGCCATTCTCAACCAACACACAAAATTAAATTGGATAGGAATGTTAAAGACAAAGAAATTGTGGAATTTCGAGTTACAGTTTTATTGTAGCTTCATAATAATAAATGAAAGTACCAGTGTCAATTTTTACAGCATATTCATAGTTTTAATTCCAAAACCCTGTATAAGAGTTTGAGATTTAAAATTCTCAGATTCAACCATCACTAAATCTAATTGTGTGCAATTTTTTTATTATTTCATACTTATATATAGTTTATTTAACTTTTATCACGGTTTTGTTATAAAAAAGATTAAAAAGAAGGCATATTAAGGAGATAGAGTTTATATACATAAACTTTATTATGGTTTTACTAAGTTAAATCACTAACTAAAAAATCACTGGTTGATGAAATTGAACCCAAAAAGAAATTTTAATACAATTGCAAGCCATTATTGGAGAAATAGTGGGTGTCAAGTACTACTTATTCATTGTTTTTCTATCTTATTTTTGGTTGCTAAAATTTTTTAGATAATTTTTGAGATTAATTACATTTTTTCAAATGTAAATTATAATCAATCTGAGCATAAACTAGTCATTTATTTTAGCACTATTTTATCCGTCATATACTTAATATAGTTTTATTTTACATACATAGTGGTATTTATGTATGGTTTTTATTCATTTTCATCTGTATAAAGTCTCGATCTCCAGGTTTTATTCTGTTGAGTCTTATTTTGTCACTTTTCAGTTCTTTGTTATTGTATTGATTTTTTCACTCTTATACTCTTTGTAAAGCAATTTTCTAATGAATTTGTCTCTTCCCTTGTGTTTTCATTTATTTATTGTAAATTTTCTTTAGTAGTAATTATATATAGATAATAAACAAATTTGATTATTGTTTCTCTTGTTGATTTGTTTACCTTATTTTCTTTTACTTATTTTAATTTACCTTTTAAAAATTGTTTTTATCTTTTTTTATGAAGGTTGGATATTTGTGACTTAAGTTTTCTTTCTTGAATGACTTAAGTTTTATAACCAAGTGGTTATAGTGCTCGCCTTCAAATATGAAGGCCGCTTGCTTGTTTGATTCCAAGCAAAACCATTTCTGGACACAGATGCCGTCTGTCATTAATCAATTAATGATGCAATGCTTTAGGTGGTTACTGCCTTGAAGATCATTTGACTAAAAAATATATATTTGTTTTGTTTTTAACCTAAATTAACTATAAATTTTATGTAAAAAATAATACACCTTATAAAAAGTATAAGGGTGTAGCATAGAGCACAAGGGCCTAGATTTTTTAGGATTTTTTGAGAGGATAGCAGGCTTACCTGAATGGGAAAGAGTCCAAACTGGCACAGAAAACACAAAACCAAAATTTACACTATATACACAAAACTAATCCTAAAATCATCTGTTTTGTGTATATAGTGTAAAGTTTTGTTTTGTGTTTCCTGTGCGAGTTTGGACTCTTTCCCATTCAGGTAAGCCTGCTATCCTCTCAAAAAAAGCCTTATAAAAAGTATTATATATTGGCTATCCCTCAAGGTAAATCAGTAATCTTAGGGATCTTGCATTTCAAATAAATTAATAACTTCATCCACAACCACAAGTAATTTTATTTAGTTACCTTGTACCTACTGAAGATATAATACCATCTCACATTTCAAGTTTTACTGTCATTTAATTTGGTGAAAGTTGGCCTTTACTCAATTATTGGAAACTCCTATAAATTCAATATAATTGCCGAGCTACTTCACTTTTGTTACATGTATGTTTTTTAAACACTTTAGCCTATGTTCGTTGATACTGAAAATTACTTTTTGTCAAAATTTAACAAGCGTACACATCAGCCTGAAAGATTGTAAAATTTACTTTCAAGTACCGTACAGGAATTTGATTTTAACGAAGATTTCAAGGTTTTAGAGAGTTCTTGAAAGTAAATTGTTGTTTAAGTTGGATGTTTACAAAATTGGGTAGGCAAACAAGGTACCAGTATGTAGAAGAATATATGGATTAAAAACCAACTTTTTCACAGGGTGTCTAACAAAACTCACCCAGCATTGGATTTTTATTTTACAACACACAAAATTCAGGCATATTTTTGATGAGAACTGGGTGTTTACATTTTCTCTAGTTTGTTGATCACTTGTTGGTACTATTTCTCATACGAAATAATATTTTGTTCTCTTTAAACCATTGCATTCCATTTATTCCTATAATCCCAATTGTCCAAAACTTGATGTAACGTTAATCTTTTCTTGAAACATATTCTAAGGTAAGGTTAGCAGATATTGTTTAGAAGGTCTTCCAAGAATGGAATTACAAAAGGGTTGTATTTTTTCAAACATGTTATGTATACAATAATGTAGTGTGGAAAACTTAATAAGGTTAGTTAAAACTGGTTGATGTTTATTGTAGGTAAGTATAAAATTATTGTATCTTTTTTTTACTTGATTGACAAAACTAAAGTAAAACAGAGATCAATGTTTTAATGTTCTATGTCCGGATTATTTTTTTGGTTAAATGTAAAAGTGTTTACAGTATTAAATTGAATGCCAGGTTTGGTCATGAAAAAACCAGTTCTTTTATACCTAACTTCAAATTATTAACTAAACAATATACACCATATTAATTCAACATGAGGCATTAAATATTTACTAAACAATACTTCACCGTTCTTAACACTCATATCCACCAGTGCCAGTAAAATATGGGTTAAACTATCCAGAGGAAGTAAAAAAAATATATTCCCAAATTTTTCTTCTTTTCCTTATCACTCTGCTGTATTCATCATCGATGTTTGTTTTACTATTTATTTATGTACAAGAATATATCTGGAGTCAGATTGTGAGACTGAAGTCTTAAAGAAGAGGATTTAAATCCTGTAATTATCAATGGTAATATGCTTACAAAAATACCAGGTTTCCGAGTCCACCCAAAATAAGCTGTTGATCCACTTATCTCATATGTTAGGATAACTCAATGGTGGTTTCATTTCAAGAAAAGTAGTGGCATTGTTAATTTTATCTTATGTCAGTTTAAAATTGCTTTATATTCTTTAAATCAGTATTGCATCCTCCTGTAGTACCTCAAATCCTCAAACCTACACACTCCGTTATAATACCTCAACATTTCACTTTTGAGCTTTGTGTTTTACAATAGGTTTTTTTCTCTGTTTTTTATAGATTACATTCGTGTTCTAAACCCATCACTGTCCCATAATACCTCATCTTGAACCTTGATATTCCGCTCATGCTTATCTTCTCAATATCTATACAGTTGTCATGTTTGTACGTAGCTTTTGTACGTGGAGCAAGTGAGGTTAGCTTGTACGTTAGTTTAGGAATCATCTTGTACGCTTATAAGGCAGTGGCTTGACTGTATTTTGTACGTTTGTACTGGCTATATACCTGAAAGATTAGATTCAGAGCGAAAAGCAATTTATGTGATCTGAGCATTTAATATTGATACAGTAAATGTTATAAGTTGTGTCATCTGCTTCTAGATATACATACACTTTAAACTGTGGTAAGATTCATGAAAAACCTTGTTAGTGTCAAGTTTATCTTATTGAAATGATTTATTGGGTTTTTTTTCTTTCTCTGACATATACTCTGTCTGTAGATTCATTAGAAATACCTGTTCACTAATACTACAAAAGACCCAGTATGCATCATAAATATAAACAAATTACGTTTTTGGCCCGATAGTAAACAAAACCATTTGTTAATTAATGCTATTAGTAGAGGGGTTTTGTTTACTTTCGGGCCAAAAACGTCATTTGTTTATGTTTATGATCCATACCGGTATTTTTATAGTATTTGTGTACCTGCAAAAACCAATTCCAAACGAAGATTTAAAGTCATATTTTAACCCTTTTCATTGACACAATTATAATTTAAACCATTTTGCTAGCTCAATTTTGTTTATATCAATGGGTTGGACTTTTGTAGGAAAAAGCAATTGTCTCAAGACTACATTGAGTAAAAAGGAATAAATACAAAATTAACATACCTAAGAAAACAGTTCCAGGTAGTTTAAATTAAAGCACAAAGAAAGTGCACAACACATAGAAATAGTATATTTCGTACCTAGGGCCGAAAATGAGGTTTTGCCGGCTCGAGATATTTCTCGAGAGCTGTAAAACCATTTCAGTCTGTGGTACGAACGCTATTTTTCACCACAATATACCCTATAACCACTATTCACCACAATAATAAATAATGCACACTGATAGTCAACACAACTACAAATTTAAGGTTGTGTGAAGAAATAATTTGAGGAATCAGCAAAAAAAATAGTTCCTAGGCAATGGTGACAATAATACAATTCTATTGCAATGCTATGGATACTGATTGTGTATTGCATTAATGTTTTGAGAAAGTAAGCGGGCAGCTGATTTTGCGGCCCTAGGGATGTAAAAACCTGCTCGGTCCCCGAAGGACGATGACAGCTGGCATGGCCAACAAAACGTAACTTTCAGCCACCAATTAACGTATGTAAAACAGCTAAAACAGTAAATACATCATAGTGTGGTGAAAAACTTATTGTGTCGTAAACATTCGTTGTGCTTTCAACTATCTGCAACTATTTCCTTCGGTAAGTTGTTCACAAAATGTTTGCACTTTAAGGGGAAGGTTTCATGGGTTCCCCCGCCACTGTTTTAAGCTAAATATATATTTTAGCTATCGGCTGCTATTTCAAAGTCGGAGCGAGGTGGAGGGGATGGATTCGCTTCCCCTCAAACGGCCTAAATTTTGTGAAGGACTATAGTTGTATCCATTCTTTCTTCCTTATTTTTTTGGTGGCAAGAATTCTTATGTTATTTTGTTTCTTTTAAACCAATTATTATAAGATGTATATCTCTGAGACTAACTTTTTAATTTCACAAATAAAAAAATTCCTTCACAAATTCTATATTTTAAATCTTAATATTATAAACTCGCAAGAATATAATTTCTATCTAATAAAGGTGCTATTTTTGCTCTAATGTCCATTGGTTGTTTGATAAATCTGCTTTTAGGAAATAAAGTAATGAATGACAATAAATAATAATGTATTATTATCTTACTGATAATGTATTATTGAATTATAAGTTAAAATTTGTTTTGTAATTTAACGTTTTTATTAAACAAATAGGCGGGTTGTTTGTGTATAGTAAAATATGTAATTCTAACTGATTTGATTTTTTTTACGCATATCTGGAAAAAATAACAGAATTAAAAAATAGGGGTTTTTGTAAATTGGGCAGTTCTTAATAATGTAATTGTCAATATAATTATTAACTAATTTCCCCCACTTATTAAATTAAATAGTTGTAAAATTACTTTTTTAGCAATGCTCCTATAAATCCATACAATATATCCTAATAAACCATGTAAATAGTACGTGATCAGGTATGTAAAAAATATTTGAAGAATATGTTATAGTATTTAATTTGCTTATTAATGTGTTATTTTGTCAAAAATATTGTGTATGTGTTAAAATTTAAAAGTAAATGGGGTTTTTGTGTTATTGTTGTATGTATAGCTGTGTATATTGTAAATATAAGCAAATAAACCAACTGTTTGGACTGTGCTAATGTGTTTTTGCCAGTTAAACCACAGACATACTTCAGTAGTTTACAATCACCGGTGACGAGGGTTGCCGTGGTAGCGAGAGACGTTCGTGGTATCCCTGAGACCACATGATATAGCAACGAGTTCTATCATGATTGAGGGTCAGGATCACGGTATCGCTAAGATCACCAGAACAAGGGGAATTTATGCAATCATGAAAGAAGATTATCGTTATCGATGAATACTAAAATTGTTTTTTTTTTTTTTCATTAGCATATGCTGACTATCTGTGGCCCGTAAAAAATCTGCTCCAAGCTCGTAGGTTGGAGAAATCTTTTTTAGTCCATTATTATTTGGGTTGAACACACTGTAGTTTTGTACCTAACTGTATGTATCACCCAGAAAAAATAGTTCAAGGAATAAATAGAACAAGAACTGTAACAAAAATTATTTATTCACATAAATTGTTGTAATAAAATCACAAAATAAATAATAAAGTAATCCACACAACAGTCCGGTGGCAAACCTAACCAACTCATTCACCTCTAGGTTGATCCCTACGCCACGAACTGTTAGCAAAGGATTCACTAAGAGAATTACGAATGTATACTCATGTTTTATTAAAATTTCAGAGCAATACATACATGTTATTTTTAGTGAAAATATCTGCATCGTCGCATCATACAGAATTAGTTTTAAGATTCCGAGCAAAGAAGGATTAGCACAAATGTTTGTTTACATGGAGTAGGTTGATATTTTTGTTCCTTGGGTGGGAGTCAGATCGTCGTCTTGAGCCCCGAGACATTTCTTGACATACTGAGGATTTACGACAAGTTCTTCCTCCATCAGTTGAATGTGTCGGTTGAAATCCATGCACGTGCTCATCTGTAGCAATAAGTAAGATAAAAAAATTATTTAATAAAATCAAAAGGTAAGAGGATGTTTTATATTGACCATGTCAATGCCTAAAACAAATAAAGGATTTTATTTGATTTTAAGACAGCCTGAAAAGAGTGTCACAAACTCAAACATGTCAATATTTATTGTGTTTTCCATAGAGAAAAAACCTCGCATTATACTATCATACGTTAACAATTTAATTGCGGTATTACGTTTTCGTCAACTATTACCTCAAGATTAAGAGTATAAATGCATTGCTGTCATGGTTTTGATTCTATAATTTTTGTAGAAAAAGGTGCCTAAATAAGATTACAGACATAAAAAAATAAGTAGGTAATTACCTGAAACTTTTGGAAACTAATTAAATAAGTAAAATTATTGTTCAAGGTTGAACTCTAAATTATTTCTTGTAAGTGGTAAATAACAATTATATTTGTTTTGTTTTCTTTGGGTATGAAAATTACTTGTTTAAACCCATGAATTTTTTTGGGAGTGAGCTGGACTAGTAAATAGAGTGCGGGACTTCGGTCCCTGAGGTCCCAGGTTCAAATCCCACCAAATCACCAATGGATTTTATTAAAGTCACAGGCTCGTGCCTAGCATCTTAGAACAAAAAAAAAACCATGAAGCAAGGTCAATATAGAGTTTATAAATCAATTGTAAACCAGTAATCAATTAAACTTGCCTCGTCCTCCAGCCGTTTCAACATCGCTGGTGTGTTATACTTCTCGGGGTCATCGTGAAAACTGACCATTCCGTCTTTTTGGTTGATTGCCGCAAATATTTCCCCATCCTCAATCTGCAACAAAAAATATGAAGTCTATATTTAAATTTCAGAACAGATTGTAGTTGAAGAGGGAAACATTTGATAATAGACAAGGGGTTTTTTGGTTTTATTAAAAGATATAATAACTTCACTCATGCCTAACAATTAGGGATGGATGGGATTGTACTTTAATTTTAAGATGGGACGGTATTTTATTTTTCCTAAATGGAAAAAAGTGTTTAAAAAATCTTGGTTAAACAATTTTGCAGATAGCAATAAATAAAAACTTAATCAATTTGCAGTCTTTGTAGCATTATAAAAATCAAAATTGGGTCAAAATGCATACTTAACAAAAACTGTCAAAAGAAGTGAAAGTGTGTATATCAGGACTGTGTTTAACGCTGACTCCCTAAATAAGACAACATTAAAAATCAATAAATTTAGAAAACCCCATTATAAATAGAAAGAGTTGTTAAAAACCTCTGAATTCGCAAAGGTATTGTTCATGTAATAAACTATGTTTTATGAACACCGTTCTAAGGAGTTAATGGTGGATAAACTAAACATCCACCAGTCCATTGGAAACCCATTAATTGAATCAGGGCCGCATTAGCTAAAGGGTCCAAAGGTTTGTTGGGAGCACAAGGAAGAGAAATATACCCCCAGAATTAAGGTGGAACCCCCACAACTATCTCTTGGACACACACATGCAAACCTCCGCTATGAAATACAAACCATGTTAAGGATGTGCTTCTCTGCGTCGGCAGGGCTCGGCAGATGAACTCTACTGGCCACATCAGTCAGTGACAACGTCAAGAACGTCTTGGTCAGCCTCTGGATGTTCTTCTTGTACAGAGACGCAACCACTTGCTTGGTCAGGCCAATGTTGGTGTCCCTTTAATATGTCACTCAATTAGCTTTATATTACAAAGTGATGTATCTATCACAGAGATTTCACTGTGGGAAGGGGCCTGCAGATCTTGTGTCTGTTGTAAGAAACCAGCTTTAATTAATAGCCTAATGAAAAATGGCGATTGAGTTCAAAAATGATATTTCTCAGGATCGAACTAGCTACCTCCAGGGTAGAAGGCAAGCACTTGTTGAAACATACATTTAAAAACTACCGGTAGTTTTGAATATTTACTATTAAATCAATACAGTCACATAAATGCTGGTGAGTTTACCAGCTTCTATCCCGGAAGTTATTCTAATGTATTATTGATTAATGAATTTATTATATGAAGCCAAAATAACCCTTTTCAAACAAGGAAATTACTGATGAGCAAACTTAGCAAGATTGCAGAAAGTAGCGTAACGTTAAAAATCAATCAAACTACAGTAAATATAATTCTTGATATGGTTGAAGGTTGATGGACGAACCTGTTGAATGTGTCGTGGTATTTGGTAAGTATGGCCTGGGCCTCGATCGCGTTGTTGGTCGTGCAGGCATTCGCCAGGTCATGGTAGGCTTGGCTCAGTGGTTTGATAAACCTAGTTACTGTCACAGTCATGTACTTGGGGACGTTCTGGATCTGTCAAACATACGACTACATTAACATTGTACACTAATAAGTATTATATTACACTAGCTGTAACCCGCGGGCTTTGCCCCGTTTAACTTCTTAATTTTCAAGATTATCTCGTTCGCATGGCTCAATCACGTCCTGGTTGAAGTTTGTTCGCTACGCTCACTCACCTTTAGGTTGGAGCTCGTTCGCTACGCTCACTTATCTTTAGGTTGGAGCTCGTTCGCTACGCTCACTCACCTTTAGGTTGGAGCTCGTTCGCTGCGCTCACTTCAAGTTAACTCGTTCGCTACGCTAACTCGCCTCCAGGTTGAAGTTCGTTCGCTACGCTCACTCACCTTTTGGTTGCAAATTAGCTGTTGTCATAAATGTAAAAGAAATAATAGTGCTGCACCCTGTTGGTAATCCTTGTAACTTTAATGCTATTGAACATCATATAACAGAACCAACTTGTTTAATTGAAACAGCTGTTAAGATTCAATAATTCCATTTCTCATAAGGTTAACATGGGAAACTCCAGAGCCACTGGGGCGGAGCCCGAAAGGATTTTTGAAATAAGAATATGCCTATATGTTAATCGGGAATGTGAGCTATCATCATGCCAAATTTCAGCCCAATCCGACCAGTATTTTTCGAGTTTACTTTTCCCATACACACATACACACATACAGCAACCACCTCTTTTTACTTTCTCCCCCTATACCATAGTATATGGAGAAAGTATTGTTTTCGTCAAAATTTTCGAGTTTGAGTTTTGAGTGGATATATTCGTTTTGGGTCCCCCAGGACCCAAAAAAGTGGTTTTCGAAGTGATGTCTGTGTGTGTGTGTGTGTGTGTGTCTGTGTGTCTGTGTGTCTGTGTGTCTGGATGTGTACAGAGCTAGAGACTACACCTGTGGTCCGATTTCGATGAAATTTGGTATGTAGGTTCTAATCCATGGTATCTCCAGGCGTTTTTTTCATTTTTTTGAAATTTTGATTTTTAATGGGGATTTTCCCATAAAAACCCATAAAAAACCGGAAAAATCGGATTTTCTCAAAAATGGCCTGAACGATTTTGATAAAAATTTAGTATGTTGTAGCCCTTTAAATTCTGAACAAAATGGTACAAATCCCATTTCTGTAAAAATTACGGTTCAAAAGTTATTGTAAATTATGTTATTTTCCCATAAAAATCCCATAAAATAACCAAAAATAGGATTTTAGACAAAAAAATCCGATTTTATTTAACATAGTATGTTATGATCCTTACAATTTTGATAGTTTTTCTCATTTCTTAGAAATTTTTATTTTTAATGGGTATTTTCCCATAAAACCCCATAAAATGACGGAAAAAAAAGATTTTCCCAAAAATGGCCAGAACGATTTCGATAAAAATTTAGTATGTTATAGTCCTTTATATTCTGAACAAAATGGTACAAATCCCATCTCTGTAAAAATTACGGTTCAAAAGTTATTGTAAATTATGTTATTTCCCCATAAAAACCCCATAAAATAACGGAAAATCATATTTTCCCAATATTGGCTCGAACGATTTTGATAAAAATTTAGTATGTTATAGTCCTTTAAATTCTGAAGAAAATCTTACAAATCCCATTTCCGTATATTTACTCTCACCGCTTACACATGATAAAGGTTGTTGACAAACTTATGGGAGAAAGTATGTGTCAGAATGCTGATACCGTTTATTTATAATAGTATAGATAGATAAATTCTAAAACTACATAGCCTGAATAAGGTTAACAGATGTACTATGTTATGTAATTATTAATAGTCAAAGGTAATATTCATAAATATAGGTAGGCCTACCAAATAGAGTAAACCTTTGATAGTTCGACACTCCTTGTAGTTCGACACGGGCTGAGCTATTTTGTCAAGTGATATTAAATGGTTACTATTGTGATGTAAGCTGACTTTGAACATTAATTTGTCATTTATTGTTGACTTGAGACTTAACTAATGAACAGTGAAATCCTAGCTTCCTGAACAGCTTGTTCCAGTGAACAGCTTCCTAGTATTTTATCAATTTTGGTGATTTCTTTATAAGACTTGTGTTTTAATTTTCCTGTATATTAAACTTTATTTACTCCTTATAGTTTGACATTTCGATAGTTCCACACCCCTTAAGTCCGCAAAGTGTCAAACTATCTATATTCTACTGTATACCAGGTCTGTACTTTTAGGTCTAGACCTTCTTTCTACCATAATCTCCAGAAATAGACCCATGTTGACATATAATTGCTATTTTCTTCTACCTACCCTAGAGATTTTACATCACAATGTGCAACATACTGACCTTGCCGTAAAGTATGAGGGAGATGAGGATATACTTCTTGTAAGCCTCCAGCATGACATGACTGACCGCGTACGCAGGAGTAGTGATCACTACCTCCAGACAGTACAAAGCTTGCTCGTACTTCTTCAGTGCCGTGTAGATCATACCACCGTAATAATAGTACGCTAGGAAATGTTTGCTGTTGAACTGGCTTCCCTAAAACAATATTTCAATAAGTATCTGAGTATTTGATGTAAGCTTAGTAGTGTATGTTTAGTTTTAATAATATGCAAACATTGCAAACCATTGTAGTTGTGACTAAAGTAGGTCTTAGTGTTAACTGAATTCTAGCTATTTTGAATAATAAGGCTACAAGAGATTTTGTTTTCAAATGTGATCAGTTTTACCAGTACTAAATTTCTTTAAAGTTTACAAGGCCTATATACAACTTTTTAATAATCAGTCAAAATAATAATAAATCAGTCAAACAGCGATGATTGAAATTTTTTGAAACGAAAAAGGTAAATGTTGCAAAATAAACATAACCAGAAGGCCTAATCAGTTAATTAAGATCTTTAGCAAGTTGACAGGAAGACCTGTGGAATAATTTGGAAAAAATTGTCATTTATTTAAATGGCCTAAAAGTTATAAAAGGAAATTCATAGAACTGTAATTGAAAGCTTGAATTGTAAAAATATTGTAAGACCACAATACATCTCTTATAACTTGTAGTGTTCAAAATCATAGGCGGCCAATTTATACAGTACATGTAGAAAGAATCAAAACACCATGATATAATAAATGCTCTAATTTGATTGGTAGGCCTATCAAATTACATATTGGTAGGCCTATTATTATGGTTTACAGTTATATATAAATAGGCCGACAGAATTTGGTAGCTAGAACTCCGTGGATTGCCAAAAGATTTTGCTAGTTTATGGCTCATTTGAAAGATCTCATTAATTATATGTCATTTAAGATTAAGATCTGACACGTTAAAAAAGTCTACAGGGTGGCCTTTCAAGTTCCTATGTTATCCGGTTGATTTGTAAACTATAATCCAAAAGTGTTTGTTTAAAGTAGTTTTATAATGGCCATTGAACAAAATTGAGTATCTTTTTCAATTTTTACTATTAAAAAAAATCTGTTACTTTCTGGTAGCCCTTGTATAAGTTTGCCTGACTTTCTTTCTCCCCTTTTGAAAAAGGATATGTAACAAACTGTACCTCCTCGCTTATTGTGGTGATGTCCGTATCCAAGAACTCCAATGCAGGCTTAAAACATTTAGCTTTAAGGCAGAGCTGGCAAAGGTCAGCGTGAATGGATGTTAGCTGTGCTTCTGATGTCTGGATTTTGCGAATAGCCAACTTTAGGAGTGAGATTCCTCGGATCGCTGCTTTCATTTCTATCAGAACTCTAGTCAGCTGATGGCACAAATTTGCATCTGAAATGTTAGAAAAATATGTTAGCCATACGGTACCATTAAAGTAAAAAAATAATGAAAAAAGAAAAAGTTAATAAAATTACAAACAAGGATTTTGTAAGAGGGGAAAATCTATTTGATTCGGTATCTGTCATTTTGATATGTTCAATAATCTGGTATAAATCTATTTTTATACACTGAAACCTTACAGGAGTGTTTGAAAAAAGTTCACTAGTACCGGTAATCAAATAAATCAGATATTGCGGAGGTTGGGTATAGGCCTACTGAAAAATTGAAAAGTTTTTAAAAAATTGCTTTGTTACCTAGTAGGCAACAGATGTGTTAGCCCTTTTGACACTTATTTTAGTGGATTACACGCTATTTGTGCAGTAACTACTATTTTTTATGGCCCTTAGTAGCCTAATCCGAAATTGTATTAGTCTAGCATTGATGAAATTCCGAACATGCCAAATTAGTTAGTAGCTTATCTATTGTAGTGCCTAGTAAAAAAAAAAAACAACATCAACTAGGCCTTGCTCTTTAAACAATGTGCAGATTGAGTTGTCAACAAGTTAGTTAATTAATGCCAAATAGGGTGTTTTGCTAGCTTAGTGGATAGCGTTATCAGACTTAAAAAAAAAACTGTAATGGGTTTGGAACGCGTATCCTTAAAGTTCCAATTGACTAAGTAAAAATGCAGCTAGCGTTAACACAAGCAAAAAATGGATCTAGTCTTGAGCCGGTGGGTAAAAGAAACTAAGGTTGATTGTAATGTTATCAACCTGAATGATGATTTTTGAGCATTTTACCATTTATATTGGCCAGCATGGCTTAACACGTTCGCGGCGGCATGGGAGCGATCGCTCCCATACGGAACCCTAATGCCATCCTGGTGGGTGCGATCGCTCCCAAGCTGCAATGCGGTACGAAATTATTTTATTTTTAAGCCAGGATTAGAGTTAGAAACTTGAAACCTCGCACAGTAGCCTACTGCTCAATAGTATACTGTATTTTGTTTTGGTGTAGGTTGGTAGTAAATTTACCCTTAAAATCCCCGTTTGGCAATTTTAAAATCTACTTTTTGTCCCGTCTGTTTCCCTCCATTTGGCAATACAATTCCAATGGGACCGGCTACGTTCCAAGCAGTGCTGCTATCTGTGGGTGTTCAGCGAACTACGTCGACTCTCGTTGTAAAGCAGGACATCCTCGCACGTTATTTGCTATTCGTCAGACCGAAATTGGAAAGCCAATCACACGCGGCAATCGGGTTTGTTCGGCGCCGAGGGCTGCGCCGTACCTGGGATACGCCCGCCATTTGACGTGCCGCCGCGAACGTGTTAATGACTTTAAAACGATTTTAGACAACCAGGATACGCCTCATTTGATGCTAGAGCGCAGTTGATTGCTCATTGTGGAGACAAGCCATTTAATAAGTTAACTTAGTTCAATTCCAAATTGAAGAATCAGTGACTAATTCCATTAACTTACATTTTCCTAATTGCAAATGTTTATAAAGCTTAGGCCTACCGGTAACTAAAATTCTACTTACACATCTCTGCGGCAAACCGGACTTGCTCTGCATTGCAGCCTATTATGAACTCTTGGGCTTGGGTAAAGAGTATCTCGTGATAGTCTGTAGGTCCCCCACCTCCACTTGGGGCAACAATGGCAACCGGCGGGATTGCGGGCTGCGGCGGGGAAGTGGAGCTTGTTGGTGGAGGCAGAGTCAGCTTCGCATTCAGGACTGCCAACATACCTAGAGAGTGCTGCTGCAAGTCGAACATTTCCAGTACCTAAAAAATCACAAGGATCCCACAATAACATTAGACTCATGGATTAAAAATTCATCTCAACATGCAACAATCAATAAGTTAGACCTAAACTTACCTAACTTAACTTACCGTGTCAAGTTGAGATCCATTTCGCATCAGCACATCTTGTGACTTATTCAACATATTGACCAAGTCCCGAAAGTTCCCTGGAACAGTTCATTACGGTATTCAATTTAATTCTTCTTCAAAAAAATAATGAATAAAAGAATCCTTAACGCCCTTATCACCTCTACCACTTTCTCCGTAACGCAAATTGTGCTGTATACATGTATTTAACTCAAGCCGTCCAATGATTATGAAGAAATGATACCACCCCTTTATGGGCAGCTCATGTTGTTACACTAACCTCTTGAACAATCGTTTATAGGCTATTAAGGCCTATTTAATATTTTGAAAGATACCGGTAGCCTAACATTTGAATAGGCCTAGTCTCTCTTTATAAAAACTAAGGGAAACTGCTAATATTGAAACTGTAAGTTTCATATTGCATCTATAGCTTTCTAATGAAATTTGATTGAAGTAAATATTTATGTTACAACACTGATAATGTTACAACAGTAGTAAATACTGAGATGTACATCCACAAGCCTAGCTTCAAGAAATGAACTGGTCTTTTGTTTATAAATTCATCCTACTTTTCAACTAACCTGATATTATGTGGTCCCCTTATCATTCGTTATGTTTGCATAGTTACTAACATATTTAAGTCATAATTAAACTTACCTTGTTGGGAATAAGTCCGAACATGATTTACAAATTGTTCCAGTGGAGATGCCATTTTCTGGTTATGTTTTCAAGAAAATTGTAACAGTAGGGGTTTACGTAGTCAATGGTAGTATCTAATTGTAAACTACACTCTTTGACTAGCTAAATTATGACAAACTTTTACTATGAAACATTCAAATCACTCGACGAATAAAGATTTGCATAAACTATAATCAGAAATAATTTTACATTCACACACAACACAAATACACAAACACAACCTTTTAGAGGTTATGATTCCTTCCAATCCAATCCATTTCATTTGTAATTTTTTCGAGTCATTTTCTTCAAGCCGGATGATTTCAAGATGGATGGATCAAGCTTTCAGCGCTAGTTTCAGCATTGATTATAAAAACTTGAACAAAAAAGTGATTTTTAAATAAATTTAACCATAGATAAAACCATAGATAAAACATACTCCCTTAGATAAAACATACTCCCTTAGTAGATTTCTCATCCTTATGGAACAGCTGAAGACAATTTTATTGTTAGTTCATGTACGGTTTATGTAGAGGTCGTGTTTTGTTTACAATTTGTTTCCCGTTATTACAGTCATTTAAAACCTCGTTTAACCAAATAATACGATCTAATCATAAACAATAAATTGTCCCCTAGTTATTTAACCAAACAGTAAAGCACAAATCAAGAAATTAACCCTAAAATAATAGAAGCAAAATTTCGTTGACACTAGCGCCCAGTGTGGCGTACACTGAACTAGACATGAAAAACGAGCTTCAAATTTTACAATGGGATGAGAAGTCTAAAACATACTCCCTTAGTAAATTTCTCATCCTTATGGAACAGCTGAAGACAATTTTATTGTTAGTTCATGTACGGTTTATGTAGAGGTCGTGTTTTGTTTACAATTTGTTTCCCGTTATTACAGCCATTTAAAACCTCGTTTAACCAAATAATACGATCTAATCATAAACAATAACTTGTCCTCTAGTTATATAACCAAACAGTAAAGCACAAATCAAGAAATTATGATTTAACTCACACCAGTTACAATCACACAATACTGTAGCCATAGCCACCAACCGGATATAATGTACCCCGTTGTTATTGGTGTTATTATTAATCAAAGCAACGGTTTTACGCCAAAAAGTTTAGCGTATGTAAAATGTGACGTATTTTCGTAAGTTGTTAATAATTTGTTTATTCTCAATCTCGGGCAATGATTTGATGTTTCCAAATAACTATAAAACTAGTTTACTGGCAGATTGTAATGTTGTAGCAGAAAATTTACTCTTCATTCCCTGTACCCCTATACCCTGGAAACCCCACCACCCCTACAACACTTTTTCTCGGGGTGGGTGCGAGAACCTCTCGGTAACTAGGGTTTTGAGATGTTTAATAAGGAACATTGCCCTTATAAGTTTCTAGCAAACCTATGTACTAGCATGATCATTAATTCCATTCCATACCAGTTTACTGGTCTAATGAAACCAGTTTTTACAACATGGTTTATTTACTCAGTTACTTTCCAAATCTTGTAAGTTTTGATTCTTCTATAAGATAGATTTCCAACACATATGAAAAATTATTTAAAAAAAAACTAAAAACATATCTTGTATATTGTCTAAAAATACATCGCCAGATAACTAATCACTCGACATGGTTACCATTATACAGATGACCCCGGTAAATACCAACATCACAGAGATGTGTTGCATCCGATAACTCTTATCTATCACGACCCTAATAATACATCTAGGTGACATTAAACTGATAATAATACCCTTCTACGCCGCATAGCTCAAGATTGAGTTTAACTTTTGTGAAATTCGTCTGAGTACTGTGCAAAATAGATCTGGCCTTTTAGGTAATTATGTATTTAGATCAAATTCTCTAACTAAATCCCATTTTAAGGAGTTTTTAAACCAAAATTGCAAACTACAAACCAATTTTTCATTTAATTGTTCTAGTATACAGTATACCACCACCACCCCACACCACGCCGTACGCCATTGAAATTCATTACGTTTTTCATGAGGGAATAAATTAATGAAAAAATGGGGAGGACAACTTTAAGGTTCAATATATTAAGTGGAGTGAGATTTATAATGTTTGGTATATATGTATATAATTTATTTTTAAATTTTAACCATAATATAATTAAAGTTTCGTGTAATTAACTATACTTTTACTATACTTTTTTGGAGGCACAATTTTTTTTAGAAACTGGAAACGATTGCTATTATTTTTAAACGTTTTGTGTAATCTATTATTGAAGGGAAGTGAGCTGGTCTAGTGGTAGAACGCGGAACTGAGGTCCCGGATTCAATATCCCGCTTCACCAATGGATTTTACTTGTGATAACGCTGCAACCTCTAGGTCTAACATGATATGATGTGAAAAACTACCCCAGGCACTGTTCCAGGATCAAAAAATCTATTCATTACATCGGTAAATAAAAGTACATACATTCTAAAGATTTGCAATACAATTAGGAAAGAGAAACCTATTGGACGACACCAAACACGTATCGAAGTAGGTAATTACTTCATACCATGAAATAAAATTAGAGTTGTACTTGCAGTCGACAGAGTATATTAATCAGAGTATTAAAAAGAAAAACATATCAAGATTTATTTAGTTTTTATTTATACGACCTCCGTAGAATACTTATACTTAATAATTTATATGTAATAAAATAAAAATATACTTGGAAATGGTTAAATAAATAATGTACAAATAAAAAGTAATTTTTAAGTAAAATACTTGAATAAGCCTACTGTCTTCGTTTACTTTTAACTATGCAAAATTACGTTCCATTTGAATCCACACAGGTAATAAAGCCAAGGCTCAGAGTGAAATTATTTGAAACATACCTATCAATGAATAGATTAACTAATATCTACATTGATTACCAAATACGTCAAAATACTCTCTATATTTACAGTGTTTCCAGAGTGTATAACAATAATGCCAACATTTCACAGGTTTGTCGCATTATGTGGTAACTGTGTGTTTTGGCAGCCAAAGAGGTCAGGGTTGGGCACGGGTCATGTGGTCAAAATCAAAAACCTCTCCACGGCTCTTCAGACTCTATAAAGGGGAGGGGTCGGGTTCGCGCCTTACGTTTCCAGTTTCTAAAAAGATATTAATTGTCAGTCCCGAAAAAGGAAAAAGTAGTACACAAAACTTAAACTTCATCACTTTTCCAGACAGTCCCCCAAGACTTGTACTTTGACAAATTTTCGAATTTATTTTTATAATCTTTAGCACATTCATTTTTAATTAGAAATGGCATTGTGATGAAATGTATCTTTAATCATGTGTTTTCTTATAGGTAATAGCATAGACATGGTAATAGTGGTCGACCAAAAATATGTAATGAACAGCTATCTCTATTTTCACTTCACGCTGTTAATAAAACAAGTGATTGAAATTTCTTCCATTTGTTTTGATTTTCTGTTTATAGTTCGTTGTCTTTTCGTCACCAGCATGGCAATCCATAAGGCCCATGCTATATTTTTTAAAATTTAAAATTCATTTTTGTGCTTATTTTGAGCCTATTTTGATGTATAAAAGGATTCTATACATCTATTTGAAAATATATTTCTAACAGTTTGCGTAGATTTCCTTGCTTTGCACTCGAGATTAAAAGGGGTTTCCAGAAACATGCTTGCCTAATATATAGAATTCATGAGACTATATAGGGCATACACCTGTTGGTAAATTGTTTTATAGAAATTATATCAGATATTATGTTCCGTGGTTAGTTGTTCAGTATGGCCATTTCCCCCCTTTGTTTCCTTATGGTATGACACAGCCTCGATACAATTACAATTAGGTCCTATTGTAAAATTTGAGACATGCTCTGGAATTTTTCCTGCCCGTAAGCACGTACGTTGATTTCTAATGTCAAATATTGTTATCAATTGTTGACAACAGTTGGAATTTGTTTTAACTTCCAATCGCAGTCTATACATGATCACAATAATAATAACCATAGATCATCATTTCCTTAGATACAACTAATTACAGACTGTCGATCATTTTATGATGCCTCAGTATATCGTTGAGTATAGCTAAAGCTCATGAAAAACATGTTTATATTGTTACTATTTCCACAACCCAAAATGAGAAATTGATCATATTTCTAATCAACCTCTAAGTCTGGCGCCCACAGTTGAAATTCAGTTTAGGCACGTCCACGGCCCAGATCAGCCTATAATTTACGACGGGTTGTAGACTACCGGGTTTATGATATTTCTGTCACGACCCTATTTCGATGATTTATCGTTTGGTCTTTTTTCAGTTTGTCTCAGTTATTGTTATTCGTTTCGCTTAAATATTAATCGTTTCGAGACATTTTGCATGTTCGATGTTCGCGCAAATGTAAAATATTGCAACACAATGTTTGCTTGAAGCAGAAGAAATATTTTTAGAACAAATTACCACTGGATAACATTAGGGAAACTTAATATGAATAAAATACAAATCATGGTGGGACTCGAAAATTCAAAAGAAAAACATTTGGATTTGAATGCGAGTAGTAATACTAATTTCAGTTCTTGAGCGATGTTTTGTGCACGGATCATGTAAGAAACTGTTACTTAAATTTCCGAAATAGCTTACTGACTTACTGCAAAAACCATCAACAATCACTATATTAGTCAATTATTTAATTTTTACAGCAAAAATAAACAGTACTGAAATTGAATCAGCTGTAGTTGCCATGGAGAACTGAGTCAATTGTTGATTGTTGCCACGGCTTCGTGTTTATTACTTCTTTCTTTTGAGGTTATTTTTTGCTAACACGGTTCCCCTAACAAAATTTAAGAAAACTTTATCGTAGAGCATAATTTTCGCTCAAACGGAATTCAACGTGCGGGAGGGCCAAGCTTGTCACACACTGCATTACGTGCTTCGGTAGCGTTGAGTATCCAGAAATTAAATATTGCCGCGGATGGAGCTTACCCATGACCATAAATAAGGTTAGTATTCTTTAACGTAACAATTGTTTCTAAGTAAAAAATTCTCAACAGCAATACAATATTGCGAGGATATGTAGATTGCGATTTGAAATTAAAATTCAAATTCTAATGGTTGTCAACGAATCTGTGGAGCTAAGTATTAATTCAGTGTTACAACATCTTGCCAGTCGCAATGTGCTTTTTCTATGTCATTTTAGCTTTTATAAGTCTTGACCCACTATTCCAGAAAAGGAAAAAGTACAAGTCTCTTAGTATAGAGTATAGTTTCTCTGAATCAAAACCATCCTTTC